AGGCAGGTCTGGCTATTTTGCTTCCATGGCTGCTTATGTCCCCAGAGAGATGCGGTGGGGAGAGCCACTGCTGTCAGAATCCAAACTCCAGCCTTCGTTAGGACAGCCACTATCTATAACACAGCACAATAATTGGGCGAGCTCTAATTGCCTTCTGCAGGAATTAGATGTTACATATTCGGAAGGTGCATCCCATCACTGCCAACCTGTGTCTGCAGGTTTCTTATTTTCTCTCTCTCTTATTTGCTTTCTGAGTTTAGATGAAAGCAAATCAAATATACCATATTTGAAATAGATTCTATGACAAAAGACAGAAGTATCACTCCAAAAATGCAGGAGAAAAAGAGGTATGAGGTACATTAAGTAGCTCTCCCTGTGGAGAAGGTCATCCATCTGTGTGTTCAGACATGAGGAACGAGTGGCTGAGAATTTAGCCTCATCATAATCATCACACGTATGCACATTTTCCCTTAGCTTGAGTATGCAAGGTTTAGCGGAGAGAAGAGCATGTAGGTATTTATGGGTGCGTCGCGTATATATGCATTAGCGTCCTAGTGTATATGTTCTTGTGAATAAGTGCTTTCTCTGAGTGTAAGTGTGTGTGATCAGCGCTGCATGCATCAGTGAGTGTTTCTGTGAGTGTGTGAACTGCATCTCTCTAAGTGTTGTGTAATAAGCACTCTCCAGTCCTGATGTACAGCTCTCGTTCCCCTCACGCTGCGTACTGCCGGGTGCTTTAGCTCGAGCATGTTAGGGCTGATTCCCGGCTGTGGTCTCAGGCCAGTGCTCCGTCAGGCCCCATCGCTGTCTCTCTGACTGTCTGTGGATATAATTTTACAGTTGGGTGGCTGGAGGTAGCGACGCGGCAGGCGGTTGGCCCCCAGGGTCAAACAGAGACATAGCTGCAGGCAGCAATTTCCTTGCAGCTAGAATGCGCATGTGCCTGCAAGGTGAGCACCTGCACAAGCTTTCGGTACAACGGTGAGTGTGTGCTGTTATTGAGAGGCTTTGCTTGTGCATATGTATGAGCGGTGTGTGTGTGTACAATATGGGGGTGTTAAGCTGCAGGTGAGAGTTGCGGTGTGATAGGTGGACAGATATCATGTTGGGTGGTTCGACTAGCCCTGCAGGGGTTTGGCTCTGTGTGCCGAAGGATTTCATCACTTTGGATGCCTGGTGTACAGAACTCCAAGTGTATGTTGTGGATGCGTGTGTGTGTGTGTGTGTGTGTGTGAAGGATCCTTTCTTTATCAGGATTACTTATCCCATCCCCACCTCCATGTCTCCCAGGGGTGACAGGACTAATTTCAGACAGATCTTCCCCTTAAGCAAGCTGCTGGCTATGGGTAACATCCCATACCCCTCCCCCAAAACCCTCCAACACCAAACCTCTGCATGGACGCTGACACATCGGCTTACCCCGTACCTCACCAAAGCTAGCCAGCCACAGTTAAAGCTGGCTGACAACTAACACACACACATAGATGACTGATCTGGATTTAATCTGATCCCAGGCCAGTGATTTCTGTGCCAAATCACTGAAAACAACAAAACCCAAGAAAAGTGCTAGAATAACATTCAAAAATGTAAGTTCTGTAAAACCACCAAACAAAATGTTGTACAAAAAGTTGTTTTGTACAAAAATAAAACAATTTAAATATTTAATATGAATAGCCATGAGAGTAAACTAACTGTGTTTGCAAGCATGTCTAAAACAAACCTAAAAATGTGCTAAAGTAATGTTCAAAAGCCAAAAAAAGCTAGTAAAATCAATAGGGGTGACCCCGAATAGTGGACGATTCGATGCTTTGATAGGAGGAGCCTGATTCGACTACCAATCTCACAGTCGAATATTCGCGGGGTGTTATGACCATGCCATTTTGGCTATATGGGTGTGCTGAAATGTCTGATTTCACATAGAACTACTGGTTTTCTCCCAATAAGTTAATATACAGCCTATTATGATAATGCTGTAAATAAGAATCTGAAAAGAAAGAAGCTTCAAATAAATATTTTAACGTGCGTGAATAAATCCAACCACCCCTATAGATTTAAGTTTCACTTTCCATAATCCGTGACCGACAGAGGAGCATCTTGGCGGCAGGGATTTAAAACTTGAACAAGACTCAAACTGACACAGGCAGAGTGAAAGACTGGATTTTTTCAATCAGGTAGGGTACAAGTGATTTCAAAACATTTCAGCCGGTTTATATATATCGTGTATATATTATTTATCTCGTATAAGATGCATTTGGTTGAGTCAAGCGCTTCATTGTAGTACTACGGTAATTATCTCTTCAGCGCGCAGCGCGAGCAGGACAAACAACAATGCAGAATATTAGTAACTATGACTGGGACTGTCATACACATAACTTTATAATGAGAACACTATTATAATAAAACGCTGTGAATTTTTAGAGTTTAGTTGCTGTGTTTCTGCACGTTGTTGCGTGAAGAACGCGTCCACAAAAGGAGTTCATTCAGAACCGCACAGACACGTTCGTGCATTCGGGGCATTTTGTGCAGATAGCCTATAAGTCGTAATATTAACATTATGTTGTATAAATAACAAAGCGTATTCTATATGAGATAAATGACGAGTTGATCAATCAATCCCATTGATTAAAAACCTGCTATCAAATGCGTCACTCTACTGGTCATCTTCAGTGCGCACAGCTCAAAACAGAAATGCAGAACATTAATAACTACTGTCATATACATAACATTATAATGAGAGCACTACTGTAAAAATGTTGTGAATTATTAGGGTTTCGCTGACGTTTAATGTTAACTATCTTTTAATCAAAACATAAAACATTATTTACCCCATTTGTATCTGCGAGGCATCTGTTACACATTTTCCCTGTGTGTTAACGTAATTATGACTGTCGAATGTCTGACTTGACTCTTGGTAATGTATTTTGCCCCACCCCCAAACATATGGTTCGACTATCAGTCGACTATCAGCAAGATTCGAAAAATCCGATTCGACTATGAAAATCCTAGTCGGGGACACCCCTAAAAATCAACAAACAAAAAGTTAGTGGAGCATTTTACACACATAGAACTTTGAGAGACCTTAGGCATTCAACAATAGCAAATATTTTATATGAATACCAAGGAGGTTACATTTTTGTGCTTTTGTATTTTTGTTGATTGTTTCTAAAATGCTGTAAAAACAACAATCCTTAAAAAAAAATAAAAAAATAAAGCTAGTGTAATACTTAAAAGTAGCTAATAAAGTGCTGTAACAAAGTCAATTGAAAAATATTCACACAAAAAAAAGATTCAAATTTTTTTTTAAAATGAGTATCCATGAGGTTAAACTATGTTTGCATGTGTTTGTTGTGTCTAAAAAAACAACACAACCTTAAAAAACAAGCTAGTGCAACGGTCAGAAGTAGTGTTGTAAACCTGAAACAAAAATAATGTTAGCATAATATGTTTTACACAGATTATATATGAATGGTCATAAGGTCGAAGTGTCATTGTATGCATGTCTAAAAAAAGCTGAGAAAATGACAAACTGGAAATTCAAAAGTAGGGACTGTCATATAACCGACTAACAAAAACTATGCTACATAAAAAAAGTAAAAAAACAAAACAAAACAATGAATATACATTGCTGAACTGATTTGTTTTCTATGCATGTTTTTTTCCATTCTTTGTGTGTAAAGTGAACATGTTTTGGAAAAATAAGAAAATTGATGCATCAATTTTTCAAATGACCCTTATTCATATGTAGAGGGAGACCTCTGTATTAAATTCAAGCACTTTACAACAAATGGTTGTGCCATTGGGTGCCATTTTGATATATGTGTGTATGGGTGGCTAGCAGCAAGAACAAAAGGCTGCTATTTGTCTGGGTGCTCATGGGAGAAGATGCCATATCAAACATGCAACTGCATCCCTCAGACCTCTCTGAAAACAGGCCTCTACTTATCAATTACCTACCTGTCAGTGACACCGGCCGTGTAGGCAAATGTCCCTGCACAGGGCAACAATAGCGTTGAATGAGATTGCCATTTATGTGTGTGTGTGCACGTGTGTGCGAGAAAACGATGGATAATATGAAAAAGAAACATTTCACACAGGCAAAATACACACGCTCTTACACTCAACGCAAACAAATGTGGACCTGTGGGGCATTTGCGCCTGCTGTTGCTCTCCAGCTGCGTTGTTTTGGTATAATGTGAGCTGACCACTCAGGTCCGCAGAAGGAAAGCTGGCCGCAGGGTTTGTGTGTGTGTCTGGTCTCGTGTCTCGGTGAATAAGGTGCAGTCTACCTGATCTTGACTTAAAGGGGCATAGCGTTTGTGTACACACACAACTGTGTGCCTATAAGTGCCGTCACCTGTGTCTCTAAGAGGTCCAGTTCTGTGAGTGACAGAAGCATAGCCTACCTCTCATTCTCCCTCAAGTCTTTCCTCTCACGCCTATGATGGCGATTCTTTCAGAGGCAGACAAAACACTTCCTGTCCACCTGAATGAGAAGCGAAGAAACGAGCTGCCGTGCCGAATTTCTGCCGCTGAAGATATCAGAAAGGACTTTTTTCCTGTGTGAAGTTTAAAGGCTAGTTTAGGCAGCTCCTCTGTAAACTTTTAACATCAAAGGCGGGAAAGCCTGGAGAGCCAGAGCCTGTGTTTCCACACGAGAGCGGCAGTTTGAAAATAACTGCTTGTCCGTTTGGCAGACCTCTGAGAAAATGCCTCACAGGCCGGCTCTCTAAATAATAACCAGTCTTGTTAGTTAGAACTGGGCCTGGAGGCCAAGACAAAAGATGGTGTTTGGCTGACCGTGAGTGGCCTTCGGGGCACGAGGCCAAGCGGCCCTTCAGTTTCAACCTTGACTTCATTCTAGACCTGTTCTACTTTTTTTTTTTCCCATTATGGAAACCTGTGTATTTCCTCAGAATGGTAGATAGAGTGAGAAATACAGTTGGACAATGCATAAAATGTTCATTTCCTCCCCTCCCCAAGCATTTTCTTATTACTCTCACCTTCTCGCATCATGCCGACGTTAAGACACTTCATGAAGCGGCAGGCTTGGCAGGACTTCCTTCTACGTTTGGTGATCTCACATTCATTGGTGGCGGGGCAGCTGTACTCAATGTTTCCTGTGGCGAGGCATGTAGAGAGAAGGAACAGAGAGGGTTTAATGACTGCCAACAAAACCTTATTCCTATAGCAATCCAGCAAGAAATAGCATAAAATATAATATAATATCTTATATTTACACATATAAGTTTGAGGTTGGTAACAAACAAACAAGTTATATAATGTACAGTATACAGTATATTGTTAAATATTCTCACAGTTTAAAAGATTCTATTTTAATATGTTTGTATGTAAAATATAACTTATTCTTGTGATGGCAAAGCTGAATTTTCAGTGTCACACAATCCTTCAGAAATCATTCTAATATGATGATTTGGTGCTCAAGAAATGTTTATTGTTACTCTTATTATTATTAAATATTATCATCCATCACTGTGCAATATTTTTGTGGGAACTGTGATATATTTTTTCACGATTTAATTCATGAATAAAAAGTTCAAAACAACAACATTAATTTTAATTTTAAATCTTTTGTACCATTATAAATGGCTTTACTGTCACTGTTAATCAATTTAATGCACTGTTGCTGAATAATAATTAAAAAAAAATCTTACTGACCTCAAACTTTAGAAATGAATTGATGTACTCTCAACAAATACAATACTGTAAGTGCAAGCCCAACCTCAATTTGTCAGTTCAAAAAAAAGAGACTGAAATACAGCAATCACTTCCCATCAAGTCTACATATGTGTTGTGTGACTGAGAGTGCAAAAGGACACGCAGGAAAGCGCCACTGGCTCTCCTCAGAGGTCATGTGTCACAGAGCTGTGTGAAGCTGCATAGGCAGGCAGACAGGCAGGCCAGACTTTACTAAACCTAAACAAAGACCTGCAGGTCACAATTCACCTCTGTGTGAACTTCCAATCGCCTGGTGACCACTAACACGGCTCCTCATCCTACCAATCCCCCACATCAACACACACAGAGAGCCACAAGTTTGCTACTACGATTCCTGGCATAGAGGAGACTATTACAGAGTGTTATTTCAGCATTATGATGCTATGAGAGGGGAAAACGCAATGATATATGCTTGTTATTGCAACAGCACGCAAATAGAAGCCTGATGAGTAATCTGGCACACAATAAAAGCATTTAGATAGTTTTTTTGGCTGTATTATAAGAATATATTGCCAGATATAGTAATTTAATTTAACAAATTTAGGGTTTGGAACGGCTTATGGCAGTGTTGTAACTATCAATGTATGGAGAGAATTTGTGAAATAGAATAACCATTAGAACACAAATACGTGCACTCACACTTCTTGGGCTGAAACAGACTCTCTCACACACGCACTCATGCAATTAACATAGGGCCTGTCTGGGACCTCCACACTGATGAAATATTTCGGAGTTAATCAGACTTTGTAAACACTGATTTGTATTGACTTCTCTTCTGTGAACTGATGTTTCCTCATTAAAAAGCAGATTAGCAGCGCGAGCAGGGGGGCTAAATGCTCAAGACTGCTAATTCAACAGGAAACAGTATTTAAAGTATGCATGTCCATTAAACTGAGCTCCAATATTCATTAGTCAGGTAATCTCCAGAATCCATTAGGGTCTTTGGATTGGGAGGAATGAATGTGGAATGTGAAGATGCGAGGTGATTCTCATGAGGGCTGAGGCCAGTTTAGTGGTCTTAACTAGCTGGGAATGTTTCGAGGGGGGAAAAATCCTTGCCAATCTAATATAGGTGCTTTCCTACCAGTAGTTGAATGCCAATGGCTTGAGCGCTGTGTCCAGGTTATCAACACAGTGGAAAGGAGGCTGTATGTGTGTGTGTTCACTGACAGGATAGAGTGATGTGATTTGAGTTAGGTGGCAGTCGATTAGTGCAATGTCCATTGTCTATCACTCAAGCGGCTGCCGAGAGGTTTCAAACAAGATATAAAATGTGCCTAGCGCTTCCTTCCACTGCCTGTCTTCATACTAAACGCTACACTTCCATCATTCATCAATCGCAGTCAAATGCCAATGAAGCTCATTACCAGAACATGGCAACAACGTGACCTTGGGCTGACCTTATGCTACGGCTATGAAGTAGGGAATGGATTTGGGAATGTTCTGGGCCTTTTAAGGTTGCATTCTTGATGTTCCCCTCCCATATTTTGCACACCGCCTGGCTACGAGTGGCTCAATTGGGAGGTGATAGATGCAGGTTGTCAGGTGGCATTGGAGGAGTGCCACCGGAATGCCAGCTGCCAGTGATTTGAGTGGCCATGGCGCCCGTGCCGCCGCCTGTCCCAATGCCCCCAGCCGAACCGTGGTGCTGACGCCTCTGCATCCCTTAACTCCCCAACCCTGCTCCTTCCCTCAAAAACCAGCCAGTCTGGAAGTCAATAAATGTCCAGCTGGATGGGATGTTTTTGGAAATCACCAAGAGTTTTATTGGCTAATGGGATGAAACATACCGATATGTCAAATTCCCATCTTCTGGGATGTGTTCAGGCCGAGCATAATATTTGACCTATTTATTCAGCACCTACTTTGTTCCTCAGAGCTTCACTGCCACTATTAAAAAAACTATCAAATGGGTAACTTCCCAGTATATTCAATTACCTCTAAGCTCTTGTTTGAAATAACTGATCGAGCTTGTTAATCTGAAGGAATAAGACAGGAAATGTTTATTTCTTTGCAGCAAATTCCATAATAAGCCAGAGCATTACCACCCTCTGGCTTTACACGTCTACTGGACAGAAAGCTGCTTAGGTGGAGTAAAACCAGAGGATGTTGGATGTGTGGAATTGCTTTGTGCTGATTCTAGGTATTTCACTCTCTGACCCCTTGGCCTGCCACCTGAACTTAGCTGAAGTTCTAGCTGAGGGAGGGTAAAAGCCAACCTTGAATGGTCCTCTTGAAAAAGGCCTTGCAGGCCTCGCAGGAGGCGACGCCGTAATGGTAGCCGGAGGCGATGTCCCCACACACCAGACACAGGCGCTTGGGCATGGAGTTCAGCATGTACTCGCATTTAATCTGCGAGTCCTCCGTGATGGTGCTGGAGCAGTCCTCGTAACGCTTGGCTCCGGCTCCGCTGGGAACCAGAGCACCGGTTGGGCCGTAAAGAGTGGGTGAGTCCAGACCGTTCTGATGGCCGTTCATGGTGGAGCTGTAGCTACCGCTGGCGTCTGAGGAGCCACCGGGGCTGTGGTGATTTACACTGTCCGTCAGTGAGGCAGGGCTGGAAGGTTCCGTCTTTATGTAGGAGGGGCAACTTGACTCAATGTGGCGGTCCTTGCTGGACATTCTGCAGAGCAGCCTACATGGACAAAACATAACGAGACAAACACAGAAGTGTTAGTGAACATGACCGACAGTAGTGTGGAAACCAAGAACATGACTGCCTGAGAACTTATATGCTCCTATTCTGGTAAATTCAGGCTAGTCTAAAATGGTCTTTTCAGCAGGGGAGACTTACAATGTGTCACCAATACCAAGCCACAGTGGTGGACAGTAACGGAGTAGTTTTACTTCGTTACTGTACTTAAGTAAATGTTTCAAGTATCTGTACTTTACTGGAGTAGTTTTATTTTGAGTAACTTTTACTTTTACTTCACTAAATTCCAAAGCATAAGATCGTACTTTTTACTTCACTACATTTCATAAAACATATCGTTACTCCTTATAATATATCACATGCTCCGACACGCAGAAGCGGTGTCTGATTCAAGAACGAACTGATTCTTTTCAATGAACCGTTTAAAATCGGTTCGCAAATCGCACCAAACGATTCATTCACGAATTAGAATGAACCGATTGCAGTTGTTCTCGAGTCGACAACTCACTGATTCAAATGATCCGTTTAGTGTGAGTCTCCAGTGAACTGAATTCACAAGTAACAACCGGGAGATGTTGTGAGCGCGCGCGCGTCTGATGCTGTTAAAAGTAAGTTACTAATGTCGAATTTTAGGATTAATTATTGTAACTGAAAATCATATTTAGGTCAAAGCTGTCAGTTGTCTGTGAACTAAATCTGCTGTAAAGGGTGATCTGTTTAAGCCCACTGAAATGCTTGAATGCAGACACATTAACATCAGTGTCTCTATGTTTTAGGTAAAAAAACAAAAAACTAAACATTAAAATAACACAGACTAAATAAAATAACTCATGCACGTTCATATGCCGTAACGTTAACAGTTTTATTAAAATGCTACGCATTTAGCCCTATGTGACGTCTGTTTTTATATTGTTTATCAACACACATAGCCTAAGTTACTATGATCAACTAGCCGAGTAGACAAATATAAATGTTTATTCATAACCATGCTAAAAATAAGTCAATGTTAGCTGATGCTAACTGTCTAGCTAACGAGCTTGCTGGTGCTAAATTGAGGTAATTTTTTTTAAATAAAGTCCAAATATTATAATTCAACCACCTAGTTGATTACATCTGAGAGAAAAAGAAAGGATGTGATGTTCAGAACATGGTAACTACAGTAATTATCAAAGTGGGAAGTGATGCCCTCGGGGGGCATTTGGCCAGCGGTGTTTTTACACCACAGACAAGGTTTGAGAAGAAAAAAATCATTATGAAAATATAATGACATTTTCCTTATTATATTCATTATTTCCTTATTGGTTATTTTGGTAAAATCCCAGGTATTTTGAGCAGTAGGATTATAAAAAAATATATGCTAATATAAAATTAAATGATAAAAGTAGCCTATATAAAACTGCAAAATAAATATTCATCTATCAGTACTTTTTACTTAAGTACATAAAAAATCAAGTACTTTTGTACTTTCACTCGAGTAAAATTGAAAACTGAGTACTTTTACTTTTACTGGAGTAATATTTTATTATACGTATCTATACTTTTACTCAAGTACTTGATTTGTGTACTTCGTCCACCACTGCCAAGCCATTGAGAAAAACAAAAGAAAAAGAAACATACAACCCAGCCTCTCCAGCAACTCTCCATTTTGCACATGGGTCCACCTGCACCTTAGCCTGAGAGAACAGAGGATTCAGCAGCTAAAAAAAGCCCCTGATTGTGAATTCAGAATTCTAGTTTTTTAGCATGTTAATGACTTCTCTGAGAGGAAACATAAGAGGAGAGGCATATGAGAGCCAGTGTGCCACGGTCCCTTGGGTCTCACTAAAGTATCTGAATGGTTGTATATCTACAAGGCTGTAAAGAGGAGAGCTAACAACGCTACTCTAGCATAGCTTGCAGCCAATTGAGTTCTAAAGAAATGTGCCACAACCTACTCAGACATGTCCTAATAGTTTTAAATATATAAATAATTTCTGACAGTTATCATTTTATATGCACGCGTTTTTATGCATTTGTCATTATGTGCCCAATTTAAAGAATCTTAGTGGAGTTAGGTTCTAACTGATTATAATGTACATAATTATCTTTTGCATATATGCACAAATAATTTTTGCATTTCATATATATATGCAAAAGATATATACATATTTATTCTTTTTTTCTTCAATATAAATTTGAACTTGGACCATTCAGATTAATTTGACAGAGCAAATAATTATCTGAAGTTATTTACTGTCGAGTTACAAAGCATGAGTCAAATCCTATCATTTCTCATGGACCAAAATTGTCTATCTCCACCAAAAAGTGCTAAAGGCCTTTTCTTGTGATTATGGATCAAGAGGTGGAATCCGGTGATCAAATGCACCATGACAGATGAGCGTCTGCAGGGCGGAAGAGAGAGGGACAGTACGGAGAGCTCAGCGCCATCACTCACTTTCCAGTCAATATCAACTTGTTACATGCATCGACTGACAGAAAACAAAAAATCAGCTAGACAGACACAAACATCCAGTATCAATCCAGTAACACAAACAGACACCCACATAGTCAAAAGCAGAGACTCTTCAAAGCCAAACAAAAGAGCAGGCCGACCACCTCACCCACCCAGCCCATATCGCTCGATACCGCCAACCCATTTAGATGAACCACCCCTCCACCCACACAGCCCTGGGAGAGAGGCCTATTAATGAGCGCTGTAATTAATAGATATCTCTGCTCTGTCTTACAGGAGGCGTCAAGGCCTGCAAGAGTGGATTAACCGTTTCCCCTGTCAACAATCCAGAAGACCCTGAGCTGGGTCCTGCAGGGCGTAGTGGGGTGGAGAGTGGCACTTCACCAAACCGTGTCAATTAGCTGCACTTCAGTATCTACATTTAGCAAAATGTGATCGTTCAGGGACTGTTTGTTTCTCTAAAATCCTCAAAGGTTTTGGGGGTTGTGATTTCAAATAGACTGAGTGTGAGGTCACGCTCAAATGCACTCTGTATTTTCCCTTAACTGCATTAGCGGTAAGGTGTGTGAAAAGTGAGATGATGGCGGAGGAACAAAGTCGTAATAGAGACAGAAAGAAAATCACGGAGGATTTATACAGACAACACATCAGGACCATTTTAACATGGAGATGGAGGGGGACAAATAAAAGAGGCAGTCTGGAAGACCACACAAAGGTCTTTTTCATTAAGGAAGCCCGCTTCTAAATGAGGGCTCTAAAATCAGGTCGGCTTGTAAAAGATTACTTCTTCTGAGGCCCATAAAGCAGGAGAGCAAGAGAGAGTGTGAGAGTGAATAAGGGAGATCTTTAAAGAAACCAGACCACCTTAATATTCAAAGGAATTTTACAGAAACAGATCAAACAGCATATATTGAAAACTAATAATAATAATAATAATAATAATAATATTTTTTTATAGTATTAAAATTATTAACTCTGTCATTTGTTGTATCAGGGTCTGGGGTAACTCAATGAAAAAAATAAAATAAAAGACAAAAAGTTGCACTACTGAAATCTTAAGAATAGGTGAACGTATAGCTATTGGTGTAAAAGCTCAAAATATTGCAGTGAGAGGCAATCGATTATGAAAAAGCTCCTATTACACTTCTACTGATGCACCACCGACACACATGCACACACTCATACTCGTACTCGAAGACAGGTGTCCTGGGGTGTGCGGAGGGCCACAAAGGTATTCTAGAATGTCAAGGATGCATGTTGTGTATTTATACACAGTGTAAAGCCGGTTAAAATCAGTGAAAACACAAGCACTGACTGTTTACACTCGCAACATATTCTCTCATTCTATTTTGGGTAACGAAGACAAACTGGTTTTTGTGGGGCAGCTGAGAAACCCGCCTCCTGTCCTGAGTGACACAGAGAGTGTGAAGTCAAAACGACGGGTAACAAAAGAGGAAAGGGCCAGCACTGTAAGAGCCCCTCGTGCTTTACAGCGCTGCTCTTAAGGCTCTCAACAGGAGACACCCTGCTCTATAACTTTGACTGAAAGTTATTAGCGCTCTCTTTCTCTTGCTCTCTTTCTCCTGCTCTTTGAAATTCTATGACTCTATTAATCCAAACCTGCAATATTCACAACTCTCTATAAATTCAATTGTCAGATGGGGGATTTTTATTCTAGGCCGCACTTGAATCCAAAATTAGAGGCAGTAAAATTCACATTAGCTCTAAGAGAAATGGAATTCTAAAGCCTATATTTTAGAAGAAAAGAAAGCCCTTTCCGACAGAGAAGAGACTATTTGAGAGGTAATGATTTTATCTGTTTTCACCACTGCCTGGCGCCGAGCTTCAATCCCACAGTGTGCCATTAACAAAAGGAGTTCTTATGCTGAAAAGCAGTGGAATTTAGTTTAAGCTTATGAATGGAAATAATAATCGTCAAGTGGAAGGGTAGAAAAAAGGCAGGCGATAGTCAGCCGAGAGACAAGAGGCACAAAAAAAAGCTCAAGACATAATCAGTTATTCTTTATTGTTAGGGACATTATTGTGATTCAATATTATAAATAGTGCCATTAAGGAAGCCCGCTTCTAAATGAGGGCTCTAAAATCAGGTCGGCTTGTAAAAGATTACTTCTTCTGAGGCCCATAAAGCAGGAGAGCAAGAGAGAGTGTGAGAGTGAATAAGGGAGATCTTTAAAGAAACCAGACCACCTTAATATTCAAAGGAATTTTACAGAAACAGATCAAACAGCATATATTGAAAACAAATATTTTTCAAAAAAATAAATTTTTGGATTCTAGGAATGTAACACATGAGAAAACATTTTAGCACTATGAACCTATTTTAAGCATGGCCAAGATCTAGCTGGCTAATAATGAAGTATATTAAATAAGTAAGATTTAACTATGTATTTAAAAAAAAATTCATACTCGTACTCGAAGACAGGTGTCCTGGGGTGTGCGGAGGGCCACAAAGGTATTCTAGAATGTCAAGGATGCATGTTGTGTATTTATACACAGTGTAAAGCCGGTT